CCTTCCTCCCTCCCTCCCTCCCTCCCTCCCTCCCTTCTTTCCTTTTCAACCTCCACATGTGTGTGTATGGTTCAAAAAACTCAAAACGGCAACTGCATTCATATGATCACAGCCCTGCACATCAATTGCATGGATGCAACTGCCAAATCAAATAGTTGTCTTGTCGCGCCTTGATTCCAGAGAGATTTCAAGTTATCAGATGGGGAAGCTCTCATATGCTAAGCACACACACACACACACACACACACACACACACACACAGAGATCAACACACACTCTTCCTCTGCTATTTTATAACCAAAAAAGTTTGGATTCTGACCAGCTGGTTCCATCAATCTTGGCACGGAATATTATTATCATTTAAGGAGGAAATTTGGAAAAGAAATTTGGAGAACTGTCATTCTCTGGCAGTTCTTGATCACGGCGGTACATGCCCCAACTCAACTCAGGTACTTGTATCTGTCAGGACTAATTTGACCTCCTCCTCCTTGGATCAGCCCATTGATGCTTCTTCTTTTAGATCATCCGAGCTTAGAGCTGCACTTACTCTCTTTCAGGGGCATCTACAGGGAGAAGTAAAAAAAGACAAGATGGTGACTTTTCTGCATGAGTAAAGCCTTGCCCTTTTTTTAATGCACACAGTATGAATCATGCTGGTAAAAAAAAGGAATGTGGCTTTGAACATGTGGTCATGGCTGCAAGTTTTGGTACCTGCCCACACCCCCATGGATGCTCCTGCTCCCTTCCAGATGGGAATATACAGTATATTTCCCATCTGGTTCTGCTTCCAGATAGACTCTATGTATTTCCTTGAATTGATTGTTCATCGTATAGTTCATTAAGCTGAGTATCCAGCACAGTTATGGAAGAGATTACTTGCTGAGCTGGGCAAACCTACAAAGAAATTATTTTCCATTCAAACATGGTTACTCTCTGGTTCAGCTAATCTTTGCCTTTGGCATCTTCAAACACCCTTCCAACAGTCTGAACCCAGATCTGGACAACAGTTTGAACCCACGTCTGAACATCAGGGACATCCTTTTCTCAAAGACCTAAATGTGTGAATGTTGTTCACTTGCCTCTGCACTAGCATTTGAAAACCAACACCCATCCAAAGCTACTCCCACTTTCCATTCTCAAGCATCTTGTGTATGAGAACTCATGTATGTCCATCCTTGCAGTGGCTAACATGATGAATTATTGTGGGCACCAATTATTTCCCATTGTAAGGAATACTCCTGTGTCAGGCTATTAGAGTCAGGATATTAGAGTGATCCCAACTCTGCTAGAATTCCAGAAATCCATCAAGTCCTAGGTCTTCTGGAGGCCTTTGGAGGAAGATATGATTTGCGATCGTTCCAGAGAAGGGGCTCCTATTAAAAGTTGTGTAATTGATAGTTTGGTTGCCATTGTGTTTTAATCCTATTAGTGTAGATCAGAGTCATCTTCGATCTACAGTAACATATTTCCTATGAACCTAGGACACACACAAAAAAGTTAACATGTGCATCATGATGTCATCGTACCAATGACCTCATTTTGTATTTGCACCATGATTCAAATCAGGAATGGTGTCATTGGTTGGATGACATCCTGATGCCTGTGTCATCATTTTGACCTTGTGTCAGGTTGTTATGGACACACTTCTACCTCCAGATGATATTAGCTTTTTTATAGTACTGTAGAAAAGAGGAACACTGAGGAGACCACATTAGTTAGGACTGCTTCCATAGTCATGCCCTTTTATGGTGAAGCTACGGTTATGGAATCCTTTTGGGGGGCTGATCACCACCTCCCAAAATTAAATTGGAGTGTTGGGATCTCCTTCATTAGATGTGTTCAAGAGGGGGGTTTAATTTAGATCCTTGTGCTGAGCTGGGCATTAGACTTGATGGTCTCAAGGGCTCCTTCCAATGACAGAAGTTGACCAACCCCTTCCACTGGGCACAGTCAAGGTGGCAAGAAGTACCCAGACATCAGTAAGGTCTCTTTAATGCTAGTCTGGGGTAAATACGGAACCTTGGAGGCTGTAAGAGGAATCTCTCAGCCTCATTTATGGTGAGTTAATTAAGAGACTGTCCCTCTGAATGGTTTGAAAACTTCTCAGATTTCTCTCCACCTGGGCTGAGTTGCTGTTTTCAAGCTAAGTTGTCAACTGACTCATCCTCTATTTCTTGATTGTTGTTTACTCTCTCTTCCACTCCTTTCCCAGTCTCTCCGCAATCACTCACAGGAGTTTAAGATTCTATTTCATAATTGTATGAAATTACATTGCTGGAAAAAGGACAGAGAAACCCAACTTTGCTCAGAGGAAGGGTCAGAGTGGAAATTTTAATTTACTCAAAGCAGTATCCAAATCTAGTGATCCTCTAACTGCTCCAATATAGATCCTTTCTTCAAAACACCCCCAATATACCTTAGCTGTTCTCATCTTTGTTTTACCATATAACAGGACTATTTCCTGTCCTCCAAAAGTCACCAGTAATTATGGAGATTGATTATAGTCTCTCTGCATCTTTAGCTCATAAGAATAAACCACAAAAAGTCATAAGAAGCAATAGGTCTAATCTCTTCTGTATTGTTCCTGCCCTCTCTTCTGTACTGGTTCTACTCTCTTCTGTAATTCCACCCTTAGAACTGTGTCCCATTTGGGGCACCAGATTTTAAGATGGATTCAAAGAAATTGGAACAGGTTTAGAGAGGGGCAGTAAGGATGATCAGGGGAGTAGACATGTAAGCCTTGTGTTGAGAGATTGAAGGAACTGGGAGTGTGTCAGCCCTACAAGGTAAATAAGATCAGGAAATCGACTGCATAGGAAGACTAGAACTATGCTTATGGAGAAAAACTATAATAACAGAATCTTGCAAGCCTAATCATGCTTTACCTCCCCTCCATCTTATAGCCCAGTGAATCAGGGAGGACCCTACCCGAGTCACTTCCAAATACTACCTCGCTTCCTAGGACTTAAAGAATGGTTTACCCCTCTTTGCTTCTGTAATGGTTCTTGCCTATTTCCCTCAAGGTCATCTCTCTGACTCTGCACAGAGTATTGGCCGTTGGACCTGAGAAAAGATGTAAAGGGGGGGGGGATATGATAGCCCCTGTACCTAAAAGAAGGTCAAGACTTGCTCTCCACGTTTCTAGCGTGCAAGGTTATAGATTCCAGTTACAGGAAATGTTATAGAAAAACCTCTGAAGAGGCAGAGCAGTTTGATCTTGAAAGCCATGTATTTCTTTACTTCTTTTAGAACTTTTTAAACTTGCCCCATTCTGGACAACATAGGAAAAATACCACATGGGA